CAAAAGTGTAATTTTCCATTTGTTTCTCTTGGCTAACAAAAGTCCATCCAGTTTCAACAGTAATTTAGACATAGAAAATGGCTCAAGCATTATTTTTAGCCAAAGGAGATATTAACAATTACGCAATTAATTGGGTATTGATGGATGGGAGTTCAGTACTCTTCTGTGACCAAGTCTAGAATAAGTTACATAAAGCCTTTTGTTAGAGTTTAACAATTATAGGGCTTAGTTCTTTGAGATTCTTGTATGTAGCAGTCCCTTGTATTCGGGTGATCATTACTTGACCCAAATAGTTTCAGAAATCTGCTAGGAGGAACAAGACAGCCAGTTATTGAAAGCAACAAAACATGAAGAGGACAAAAACAGAAGCATGACTGAAACATGGTTCCAAGTGATGGTTGTCCTCTGCATAGCACCCTCTAACCTGAGAGTTAGGCCAACAGTGAAGGGACACCACCTTCAGCAGTGGGGAATGTGAGTGGGATAACCCCACTGCTGTTTCTTCTGCACTGAGCTCCATGACTGGTGGGTGTGCTGGGCAGACCAGTCATCCTGGGCTTTTCCAAGTGCACAGTACAGCAGCTCCAGGCTTTTGGAAAGGGCTGGACATGGGATAGGTGCTAAGGTGTTCAGTTCAAAGAAGACAGCTGTCCCCCTGAACATGTGCAGTGACAAACTTTGGAAATCCAAACATCTTTCCTGCTTAAAACTTTGGTGTCTGTGTGGTTCAATTGAGATTACTTGACTGGCTGTCAGGCATGTGTTCCTGCCTAGATTTTGCTTTAGATTTTAGCACTGCCTAAGAAATCAGTGCAAATGACACTTTCTGAGATAATTAGCGATCATTACTGAAGGATGCAGTTTTTAATTGCAAAACATGTAAGGATTTTCAAATACTTCAGTCCTGAAGAGAAAGAAACGCTCTTTTTCAGAGGAAAATACAGTTGAAATTAATAGGAGATGGAAGCAAACTCAGTCCTATTCATAAGTGAGTAGGACTTTCAAAGACTTGAAAAAGCTATAGAATTTTTCACTTTTCCTGGAAAACCAGCCTCTCTCTTACTATAGCAGGCACATAAGTTGCTATTAAATTATTCAGAAGATGCTGAAACACTTCTGTTTTCTTAAGAAGACGAGTTAACAAAGTAGCTATGATATGTCATGCAAATAGAGGTGCTTATAAAATAATGTGCTTTGAATTTGTTGCAGAAAACAATTTCCAGTTCTGTAATTTTTCATATTTTTTTCAAATATGTTCCATCTGCATTTTCTTCCATGGACATGAGACAGTCCATAAACATCAGCAAACTATTTGGCTGTCCTTATCCTGAAATACCTTTTCACTCTGCCTGAGATAAATACCTCCTGACAGTCAGGTGCTGCCTTTTTTTTTTTCCATTTAAAAATACCTCCTCACAGTCAGGTGCTGCTTTTTTTTCTTCTTATCCTGAGCCCACCTGCCTGCTGGTGTCCCAGTGCTGTCGTTCCCTGGTACTTGGCTTTTCAGGGCAGGAGTCTATTCTTTGTTTTTCGCTTCTAGTGATTGGAAACTGTTAGTGCTGATCTATGAGTGATGGATTAGGCCAAAGCCAAAGGGCATCAGGAACGTGCTGTAAAGACTGTTATGTTCCTTCCATCCATCTTTCACAGCATTGATGGCCAGGCAGGAGTGGGTGAACTAGAGGAGCCAAGGCAGAGGCCGTGCCATGTAGAGGCCCAGCTGTTATTCACATGGGCACTTGCCAGCCTTGATGGGAAAGGTCAGGGAAGCTGGAGGAGATTTATTTGTGAAATACCACCCATTTTTATCTGGCTAGTGTGATCCAGCAATCACAGCTTTGAGAAACACTGGCTTAGGCACTAGCCCAGCTACCGTGATGAATGGACGCAATAACAAGGGGAAAAAAAAGAGTTCAAGATGTGCCTGAAGTTACATAAAGCGAATTAGGCTGCAGTCTCCTGCCAACTCACTTCTGCAAGGTAGTTCAGTAAAGAAGTTTTTCTTGGATTATGTTCTTTGGAAGATGAGAAAAGGGGTAATAAAATTTCTGAGGGATATTTTTTGCCAGTAGCACGACATCCCGCGAAGGACTCTGGAAATAGAAAACCTGCTGTTTCTGCAAAGACAGCTTCTCAGTAGCTGTCTGTGACTTTCTAAGCATATAGCCTTGCCCAAAATTTAATTCTGGTTTAGCTGGAATTGAGAGGTGGGCTTCTCTTGGGCTGGTACTAAATGCACCAAGATCCGTTTTCGGCTGTGAGTGAGATACAGCTTCTGATAGCTCAGAAGTGCAGGTGCCACACTGTGCATCACTTTTGGGGGAAATGAGCAGGTTTCAACAGGATTTTGGAGGACAGACACTCTTTAAAGTATATCTTATTATTCTTCTAGTCTTCTCTCCCTGAATCTTCCTTCATGCTCCCCCTGGTGTTTGTAGTGTGAATTACTACCACCTTCTCCAGTCCTGGTTTTCGCCTCAATTTACAGCAGCCTAAGTCGAGTGACACCACTGAAATTTTTTAGGTTCATATAAGATTGAGATGCAAATAGGAGCTTTCAGTTTGCTTTAAATACCACACTTAGTTGACTCAACTGGGATTTTTCTGATTTAGACTACTACCATACAGGGAGTTGAAAATTCACTTCCCCTGAAGCCGTATATTTCTGTCTGGTAAATGAAACGATGCCTGAGGACAGCCACCAAACAGTTCGCCTGGGCAAACTGTCCCAACTACTGCAGGTCTGACTGTGGGACATGTAAGCAGCAAGTCCTGAGCATCATTGCAAATAATAGGTGATATCAGTTTATTCCAGTAGCGTTTTCTTCTCTTTCCAGTCCTGCCTAAAAGGGAAAGACAATTGAAATTAGGGTGTTGAGAGGTGAATTACGTTTATTAATGCTAAGCCACGCTTGTGTATGTGACTGTCATAGAAGCGATGTGACAGTCACATACATTCTTCACGTTGCAATAATTACATGCAGAAAACCTGTCCCCAGCAACGCTCAGCAGCCTAACTCCACCCACAAACTTGAGCCCAAATTCGGTTCCTCCGTGGATTCCCCCAGCTCCCCACCAGCTTTACGTTACGCCCGTTTTCTGCCACATATCCAGCCCATGGGGTGAAATACTTCAACTGGTTTTGGCAGCGTGGAACAATTTGCAGAGCAGTGCTAAGTCTGCTTCCCCATGCTGAGTGCTGCAGAGGCTGACTTCCAGGCACCAAGCTACTTTTGTGAATTTATCATGTGAAAATAGTGTTTCCTCCCCCTTTAAGGGGGCTGGAAGGAAAGAGTTGTTTCAGAACCAGATATCCTGTTCCTGGCACCAGCAGCCACCTGCTCTCTGCATTGGGCAGCAACCTGCCTTTTTTGGGACACAGATGTGTGTGAGCTGCCACTGAGGCTGTCCAAAGGAGACAGATGGTGGCAAGGTGGTGTGATGGTGTATGTGGGCATGGTGGCAAGCTTGGAATGTAGCCTCTAAAGTGAGTCCAAAGCCCAGGGTTGGGCCCTGTAGTCTAACGGCAGTCAGAGCACAAGGTAGGATATGGAAAAGGTCAAAGGGAAAAAAGGCATAACTGTTCTTGTTGTGCTGATCTTTTTAATTTTTTAAAAATAATTTCCTATAATTATTCTGTTCTTAGAGTATATATTTTTGCAAGATTATCTTCCTCCCTTAAAACTCAAATGATTGATCTCAGATGTTTGTGGGAGTTCTTAGACTGATTTCAATAAGCTTTTTCATAGTCGTCATCTTTATTATGAAAATTTATGTCTTGAGATGTTATGTACTCCGGTGGAAGCAAACCTGCTGTGCAATTCAGTGGATTGTAATGCAACTCACTAATGTGCTTGAAATAATGAGGTTGCTCTGTTCAGTGGGGTATGATGAAAAATAGAAGCCACTGCTGGGAGATCAAATTTGATTTAAATTCCTGGCAGAAAAGGTTCCCTATTAAAATACCACTGCAGGTTGCTATGTTTGTATATTCTTTGACTTCCATTTCATGCTCAACGATAAAGAGGCCAGAGAAGACTTTTTTCTTGCCTTCTGCCCAGTGCATATCAACAGTATGTTAAATTGAGGCCTTGCACCCTACTGGTGCTGTTGGAAGTAAATGTTGAACTACATTAGACTAAGCACAGAGAGAAATGGTGGCTGCGCTGGAATCAGTGGGAGATCTGAGCTTTGGGTTCAGTAACACTGATCTTCCCCTGAGTGTCATGGTTCTTAGATCTAACCCTCTTCCAGGCAGCCTCTACCTCTTCCTTTATATGGGATGAGAAGCTGAGTTGATCCCTTCTCACTTCTTGCCTATCTGGATGTGGAAGAAAAGATTCAGATTTCTTTATTTTAACTAATGGGAAGCCTTTATAGCTGCCCTTCAGCATCAGTCTCTCCCATCCATCTCTCGTCTTCTCACCATAATTGGTAGACCATCTTTCTGTAGATGATTTATATGGTCTCATAACTTTGTTTTCTGCTTAGTAGTAGAAGCTGTTTTTTTAGAAAAACGGCTCTGAGTCGGTGATACCTTTGGAGAAAAATCTGTTGAGAGAAAAAGGTGTCAGTTTTACAGAGTTTTTTAGCCATTGCCTCAACCTAATTGGATCTTACAAACTCACTGCGTGAGATGACCTACATCCCTTTTAAAAGAATAGTTTCCTCATAGCACCTAGACCTGGATATAAACGCTAATGAATCCATAAAATGTCTTAGCATCTGGCACAGGAGCCTTCAGGGCATCGGGCAAAACAGGAGATAAATGGAAGCGCTCTGTGTACATAAGGTTGCAGAACTGGCTGTGGCTGCCAGTTAAATGGATTTAATAACCTGCCCAAGTCCATGTTCTTTCAGCTTAAGGTTCATGTATGTTTTGTTTGTACCAGTGTTCTCCTTTATAGATGCTTAGCTTTACAATTAGACATGCAATTTAAAGTAGCTGCTGTCTCCTATTTGCAGTTTAACCCAAGAGGGTCACTTTTCTCTTTTCACAGGGCCGGGGCGGCAAAGGAAGCATCTATGTCTGGGCGTCTGGAGATGGGGGCAGCTACGATGACTGTAACTGCGATGGTTATGCATCAAGCATGTGGACAATCTCCATTAATTCTGCTATAAATGATGGACGGACAGCTCTGTATGATGAAAGCTGCTCTTCAACCTTAGCCTCCACCTTTAGTAATGGGAGGAAGAGAAATCCGGAGGCTGGCGTGGTGAGTCCAGATATTATTGTGTTGTTGCTGCTGTCTTTGTGCACTCCCACCACCTATTACAACTCTGTCTGCTTTGGAGCAGCAGATGGTCCTTTGTTGGGATGGATATTTTCTCATCTGCTGTATGTGATCATGCCAGAACTGTTAGCTGTGGGGTTAATATTGAGGACAGCAATGATCTTTCATCTCTTAAAGCTCTGTATAGGTGGTGCTTTCCTTTAGCAGAAATCAGATTTAGAAGTTTAATTGCGCTCTTTCCAGAGGACAGTGTGACAAAAGGTCTCTGTAAAAATCTAAATGAAAAGTGTCGACATCTGAAATCACACTTAACTTGTACAGGCAGAGCAGTCATGAACCAGACTTCTGCTCTACAAGAAGTAGCCCAGAGCAGAAAGATATTCAGTCACCTACAGAGGAAACGTGGGGGTTTGGATTTACCTTCAGACATACAGTCTCATATTGAGTGGAGCATCATACTCAAGTCCTCTACAGGGCTGTACCTACTACTGGAAAATAGCCAGTTTCTGTTCAAGTGTACCTGGGATTCTCTTCCACTGTATCAATCACTGCTCTTCAGCACCTTCAGACTAGACAGGACATAGACTAATTCACAGAGTGGAAAATTCAGGTGTAGTAATTCAAGGTCAGTCTTTTCCAAAAGCCTCTATGCATTTGACTTGGCCCTGTCTCAAACCACAAAGACACCCTGTGCAGTAGCAGATGGAAAAATACTGGTTTCTGTCTGGATATCAGCTCTGTGCTGATAACCAGCCCAGATGATCGGTGGCACCTTTGCAATTATCACCATAAAATGTACTTCTAAGGTTTCTTTCTGGTCTCTTCTAGTGACTAATCTGCATAGAAGATAGCAGCCTGGTACTGCTGTTGGTTCTGGAGTTGCACAAATGTTAGAAAGCTCAGTACCATTAACAGTTCTAGTTTCAAATCCTTCTGATAACCCCAAGGGAATTTAAGGCCTTTGCTTAAACTGTGTTTATAGGAAATAAATGGCATCTATATGAGTTTGAGTTCTCAGTGGTAGCAAACATTGTTCTACTACATCACAATTTATTCTTGCATTTGCACCTTCTGTAGCTGTGTCTCACTGTGTTTTTAAATTGATACACCATTCTAAAGAACACAGATCCTAGGAACAGACACACAATTACTTCAAAGAGCAAGGGGACAAACTCTGCTTCCTGTGTTTTTCTGAGTCTGTAGCTGCAAGGAAAAAGGACTAGCTGGTTTCATTAATTATGTCTAATATCATCACAGGCTACAACGGATTTGTACGGCAACTGCACTCTGCGTCACTCGGGAACGTCTGCAGCTGCCCCTGAAGCAGCCGGAGTGTTCGCCTTGGCCCTGGAGGCTAAGTATGCTGTTGAGAAATTCCTTGTGAGCTCTAGAGAGGATACAGCCTGCGTTTTGTTTAATGTTGTTCATCATACGAGTTGCCTGAGAGTGGCACAGGGCTAGAACGAGCAGCTGCCAAGCTGCCTGCTACAGTAGTGACGTGCATGGTAACTTATAGATGGAACGACGGTCTTGCCGAAGCCATATAGTAGATACATTTTGGCTGCCTCGCTCTCTCTGCGTCCTCTCCATCCACTATTTCCAAGGGTGTCTTCTCCAGCACTGTTTGGAGAGAGAGATTATTTCATTTCTCCACCTATCCAGTGTGGAATGCCCAGCCCACAAAACGTAAGAGCAAACCTGTAGTATCAGACAGGAATTCATCTTGTGCCACATACTGTCTGCAATGACAGATGCTATGGGGAGAGTACAACAAATGGGGATTAAAAGCGATCTTTCAACAACAGCTTTGGCAATCAGGGGTTTGGAGAGAGAGCAGTCAGCCTATCCTGTTGAATAGCCACAGGCAGATTTATCTTCCTTGACTTTGTCTAACGCTTTTTCAACTTGTCTATATTTGGCACCAGTGTCACCCAGTGGCAATCAGTTCCACAGTAATAATAGTTTTTGACAGTAGTGGTGGGGAATGTTTTATTTTTTTTTTCTTAACCTGTTGCTGGTAATTTGCTTTTGTGCTACGTAATTGCTCTGTTATGTGAAAGAATAAATATCCATTCTCTATTAACCATCTCCATGGTATTCATGACATTGGAGACCTCTTGTATATGTTGCTTCATTACCTTATTCTCTAATGATTAGGAAAAGTTTTCCTTACAATAACCTATACTATCATTTTACTTTGTGTGAATTATTTTATGAAGTGGCACAACACTTGCTCAGGCGTACAGCTTCAGTTGCTGTAACCATGGCATGAAGTGAGCACTATGTACATAGTTTTCTTCAACAGTGGGCAGATAAAGGTTTGGCAGAGGAGAGAAAGTTTCTATCATTAGCAGAGCAATGATTGTCATGCTCAGAGCATGTCTTAGGCCAAGTCTCATTTTTCAGGTCTTATACACGTTCAACACATATGCCAAGTGTTTAACTTTGGATCATCGTTTCTTCTACTATCAAATTCGTTCAGTGGGACAGCCACCGTGTAATAAGCGAATATGACCATAAAAATATACTGTTTTCATGAATTCCAACCACTGCATGTTTACCCTGGACTACAACCTTAATATTATTCTCAGTAATAATTATCATTCCACTCCATTTGAGCTATCCACGAAGACTGGAATTACTCTTGCCAAACTATCACGAGTAGAAATTAGATTAATACCCCTGGTTTGCAGCCTTTGCTGAGAAGGCGGTGAGGGAGAGAAAGAACTGTCAGTGTCTCCTATCGTTCCAGACTGGCTCTATTAAATTGTATTGTGCAGAACTACCCTGGAGGAGTTACACTAGCCTTCATGGGAACGGCTAACTATCTCCCATGCAGGCTCCTCTTGCCTTGCACTATGTCTGTCAGCTCGTGTACAATATGTGTCTGACCTGTCTCTAAGAAGAAACCAATCTGTGAAATGGAAAGTACAGTTTTAAGATACGTAGCAGCTCTTAGAAGGTTTCAATAAGAATGATGCAAGTGGTATTTGGTTTTCAGCTATCTTGTGTCACCTTGGAAAAATGACAGTAATTGGCTATTCTGGTGTACGTTCAGCAATGCGCACATGCTTATTACTTGGGGCACAGAAAGCTGAAAAGCGGATCCTTTTAGGTTGATGGTTTGAATCAGACATATTGTAATGTTGAAAGAGTTCATCATAAACCAACTGCAATAGCTTTAGTTATGTAGAATTAGAATGTCAGTTCTAAAGCTTCCAGAATAATAACTTATAAGTGCCCTTCCTGTCATCATAATCACTGCAAATCTAGGAAGACAAGAGCTGGTGATGAAAAATGATCACTGAATCTAGATAAACGTTACTTTACTGCATCCATCCATGCCTAGTGTATCATGGGTGACAAACTTCTACTATACCTTATAATGCAAACTTGCAGCCACCCACAGCCCGTATGTCCATATTCACAGAATACTGAAATTACTAACACCGTGAGTGTGATAGCTCATCAGCTTCATCAGATTTGGGGCTTCTCTGGGTAAATCTTGGAAGGTCTGTGGGAAAAGCAGGAGGAGCGGGCAAGGAAAAGAGGGCAGAATTTCAGAGGAAGGCTAGGCAAAATACTGTCATCATCCTTTTCTTATTGTATCCTTTTCAGGATCTCATCTAATATCGTAGTTGTTTTATTTGCTTAAAAATTGTGTGGTGAATCTCTAATGTGTAGTTGAAAGCAGTTGTTTTTAAGAACAGGGAAACAATCAGACGTGCTTTTGTAATTTTGGGGACTATATTTGGCAAGTACTATACAATTAAAATCTGTTCTTGTTCCCCCTGAAATCTTTAATGATGCTTTGTTATTGATATGAGTACTAGATAAATTTCTGTGTGATTCATAGAAGGAAATTTTACCAAAACCCTTACTCAAACACCCTGTCTTTAATATCTGCTTGGAAAGACTGTACTGTTTTGTTTCCTGCGTTACTTTTCCATAGCTTGGACCTGACATGGAGAGACATGCAGCATTTGACAGTGCTCACCTCCAAGAGGAATCAGCTTCACGATGAGGTTCATCAATGGCGTAGAAATGGCGTTGGGCTGGAATTCAACCATTTGTTTGGCTACGGTGTCCTAGATGCAGGAGCAATGGTTAAGATGGCAAAAGACTGGAAGACTGTTCCCGAGAGATTCCATTGTGTTGGAGGGTCAATACAGGAGCCTGAGTAAGTGAATGGTCTAGTTTATGTGTTTGGCTTGCAGGCATTTAGGAGACCACAGGCATGCAAATAAGTTGACAAAGCCATAGACAGTCAAAGAAACACGGTGAATTGTTTTTTCTAAGAAAGTCTGACATTACCAGTAGCATTCCAGATATTTCAATAAGTTCATAAAACAAGCTACATGATCTTTCAATTCCTGGTTTGCTGGAGGAGTGCATTCTACAGCTTATTTGTATCCTCATCGCTAGTGCCAGTAGTGTTAATAGCAGCATCCGTTCCTCCTGGGTACTTACAGGTATGTTTGCGCCAAAGTTTCTGTGAGTAAAGAGCCTGTGCACAAGTGAAAATCTGGGAGGCTGGCACTGTAAATTGCATAAACTGCTGCCACATGAAATAAATGTGTGTCAGCCAGGTCATATTTCTTTGTGACGTATACCAGCAGGCAGTTTTATCTCCAGAAGACTGAAACAATCATCTACAGGTACCAGTGATTCAGTTTGAATACTACAGCATTTAATTGTGTTTTGTTTATGTTCTTTAAATCTCTAATTGCAGGCTAGGTAGTCAAATTATTTTCTGATTTACCTTCATGTGCTGAAGTGAATGAGTCAACAAATGAATGAATTAATACTAATTGACTGCAACAGCTGTAGTTCAATTTAATTATTTGAAATACTAACCTAATAATGGCCAATTTATGCCTATCCCTTTTGAAATTTGACTTTTCAGTGCCATTTTTGAAGGCGTCATTATTCTGTTGGAAAAAGAAAGCAAACCAGTATGCCACCCTGGCACATAGCTCAGCCAGGCAGAGAATAAATTTGTTCCCAACCTCCAGATGGGTTTGTATTTGTGGGATCCAAGGTTCTACAGCTGAGGTCTGAGTTATAATTTATCTGTCCTATGCATGCTCATAGGTAGGAAACAAATGAGAGTGCTGAAGCTAATTTTGAGCTATCTCTAGTTTATTCATCATTTAAATGCAGACAAATAATCTCATTTATCTTAGTGCAGCTCCATTTATTGAAACAGGGTTCACCCTAGAGGAAGAGAGAAAATTGCTTTCTGTAGGCTTGACTCCATGCATGAAACAACGCGGTAGAGGTATTCTGGCAGCGGACTGAGCCAGAGTTGGGGAAGTGCTTTGCAGTAGTATTGTCTCCTTCTGCCTTTGTTTTTCTGTCCCGTTTCTGCTGTTGGACGGATAGAAAAGCAGAGATGATGGTGCATTTTCCAGCACAGGGATCTGGAACTACAGTAAAGCCCCAGAGTGGAAAAATACTCTGCCTTGTATTGGTGTCTTTTGAGAGCAGCACCCAGGACAGGCTTTGCGTGTGTGAAGTTCAACCAAGTTAGTCACCACCTGAGCCTCCTAACTCTACTGTAATGTAATCTCTGTGTGTGGTCTGTGTGGGTGTCCCCTATAGGTACCTGACACATCCATAGCTTAATAGGACGTCACTGACAGGAGATAATAAGCATCATGAGTTGGAACATCTACATTTTTTGAATTACGCTGTAAATAAAACTAAGATCCAGTATCTTCTGACATTCTTTGGAAATGAAAACTACACTGCACTTCTGCCATGGATAATTGGGTTATTCTTCTAGTTTGTCCTTGCTGGAGCAGCATTTTCTATATATATATTCCAAATGTATTTATAAAAGTATAGATATTTCTATATATAAAATACATCTTCAATATAGATTTAGGTAGAAGAGTAGTTGATACAGAGGTGTGTACCAGAGCAGCATTGTCAATTAGCAGGAACATGCCAGGAAAGAGTTGGCAGCCCAGAATATACAGCGTGCTGAAAGCAATCAATATGTAAAGTGCAGCATTTCTCTGCTGCATGTAGAAAACACTTGTTAGCAATAGGAATTTTCTCTGAAAAGGGATTTTTGTTGGGTCAGCAAAAAGTCAAAATGGACAAGTCCAAATTTGGCTGGTTCAGGGAGATAAAAAGTAAATTTAGGACATGATAGTCCATTAGCTGAGGAACAGGAGCATGGTAATGCACTTCTAGAGAGCAGTTAGCTCCCCCTGCTCTTCTCTAACAGGGTACTACACTTCATGCAAAAGTGAATGTATTTTTTTTATATAT